AAGGAGTAAAAGTGAAGAGCTGGTAAAAGGAGCAGTATTCATGGAGCYTAAGTGGTAGAGGTTTATGATGGAGCCACGTTTGATATAAGCTGCTACACTGCAACTTCTCTGCCAAAGCCCCACCTCCGCCCACTGGAGGATTCACTTGCAATTAAGCAATTTGAAGTTACAGTAGTTCTGTGGCATAAGTAATAACCTACACACTAACAGATATGACTGCCTTTACGTTCACTTTCCTGCCACAGTCAGGGAAATGGCTGTGTTCAAAAAGACAGTTCTTAAATTCAAACTACTTGGCGGCAGCCACTAGAAGCTTCCTAAATTGAACAGGAAAAAAGTGTTCTCACTATAATGTGTTTTCAACTGGGCCTTTAAATAATAGAAGAAATAATGCTAAATGAACAGAAAAGTGTAACAGAAGTGATTTTCATGTAACAATTTTATAAGAGATGTGTTACATAGATCATTTGGAAAAAAAAAGCAAATTGAAGTGTTAGTCAGTTTCACGCTGTGCTATGCTGTAATTCTCATTGCAGAAAGATCAATGCAGTGCTTARGGGTACACAGTCTCCTTTGAATGCATGCCCAGCCACTCTCAGCTCCTTTAGGGATTGTCCATGCCTCTTAGATGGGAGCAGGGTATTTGACTTTTCAAATCAGTGACAAATTATGTTTTCCTGATTTTGATTCTATTTTCAGTCTGGTATTGGATACAAGTCAAGACAGAACTGGAGCAAATGTGAACACTGCTGCAAGGAACCAGAATTCAGTAACATACTAAATTGCACTTTTGAAAAACCAAGCTATGTCAACTGGTGTCAGAACACCATTCCCATATAGCAGAACTCTTAAGGGCAAAAAAATTTATTTTGATAATAAATAGCATATAGTATCATCTTCTCTATTTATAGTTAATCAAAATTTATGTCTTCATGGGTGCAAAATTCATCCTTTAAAGCTGAACACAATAACAAAGCTGGAATCAAAAGGAGAATAAATCATTAAATTTGCTTTTAATGTGCATATAATTACCGAGTTATTTCTTAAAAACCAGGTAATAAATCAATGTCTCTATTAAGTTCCCAACATTTTATTATTTATCGCCAATAATCTGAACCCAGCCCAGTGACAAGGACAACTGTTTTGAGAGCAGCTGGATCTGGCTCCCGATTTCTCTGATCAGAGTGCATAACCAAAGACCATTTGACAGCGGTTCAGATGAAGGAGCACAGAGGAACATCTGTGTTCCATCAGGAATGTGATTTAGGAACATGTTAGAATGGATAGGACCTGCCTTCACAATTACTCAGCTCTGTGGGAACACCACAGGGATCAAAGGCTGTGAGAGGGCAGACAGTCATGGGGCAATGAGCAGGGAGCACTGTGGCCAGGATCTCACGAGCTGAAGGAGTCACAAGAGCTGTGTGCAAAGCCTGGGGTTTACTGCACTGGGGGGTTAAGTTGGGTCCCACAARCCATCATCCTCAGGTGCTGAGCACGGCTGCCAACCCTACAGGCTGTGTAACCGGGCTGTGCCTGTATCCTCCCAATGCCAGTGCACTTGGGTACACAGCAAACTGGCACTGGGGGAGGCAGCAGGGCATCTTGATGAGATGTTAACACGCACAGTTAGTTTGCTGGGGACAGCTGGGACCAAAAAAAGCTGCCTCCCCTTGCACGGCWGCTGCTCTGCACCCCTGCTTCCCCTAACCTTCCCCAGCACAGCCTACTCACAAATGCCAACAGTGGGATACGGATAGAGGTCTCAGCATCACACACTTTTCCCCAAAATACGGAGCTGTTTTGGTGGGAGGTGAGCCCTATCATCSTCCTAGTTCTGGCTCTCAAATAAAAAAGGGTTTCAAGTGAGCACGTTCCAGATGAACAGCAGCGATCCTTCACCCACCCAGGCGTGTCASGAAACATTTACGAACCCACCAGAACATAAAATGAACCTGTGCTGATTGAGGATCAGGTCCCTACATCTTCTAGAATAACTACTGCAGGAAAAAATCTCCAATAATCAATGTAAGAGAAAAGTTGGAAAATCATGACTGCTGGAAAACGCTAGAAGCTGTTGTTTGGGAGCAAGGAGAATGGGRTAGATTCAATGCTGCAACACAGCAAGGTTCACTTTTTAATATTTTCCCACAGTTCCACARAAAGTAATGTTTATGCAAAGTCACACTCAACTAAAATTAAGACCAAGATTGCATGTGATAAAAAATGCAGTAACTTATTTTCACTATGTTTTAGTATATTTCAAATATTTCACGACTGCCTTTCATTCTACAGAATCKCTAACAACTGACAGTACAGCTGTACTAACTCATGAATGCATTGCACAGAAGATACATTTCATATAGATTTTTGCACTACCACTCATAACACACAGTGTGTTTGCACAGTATTCATGCTGCTCTGCCCTATGGACGCGCCTCTTGGGTGTCCACCGCTCTTTTGTCCCTTGGATGCTCCCTTTTGCTCTGTTCAATGCCCTCCACACGCCCAGAGCAGCTCTCAGTAGCTCCTGCTACCATTGAGAACTCTCTGCATGGTACARTAGTATTAAATGCACACACAGAATTTTGCTTCAGTGAAAAGACAAAATAGCATTTTACTGAGTATTTCAATCCTAGTCCTTGCTGAAGGAAAGCACAAAGCTGTGGCTAAGTATGAACATCAGGAACCTGTAGCATCCTTCAACTTTGAAAGTTGGGATGGGGACAAATAACTGCTGCATTCATGTTTGAAGAGAAAATATTAAACCTTGCAGGCTAGATATAYACAAGCATTTGTATGCACAAAAATATATTTATCTACCTAACAGAGACCCCTATCTATACTATTAAGGAATGAAGATCTCTCTACATCTATAAAGAAGTATTAGAGCTTTTTGTTTAGAAAGAACATCTGTCAGCGCTCCCTTCAGACTTGCCTTCTAATTTAACAAACAACATAAATGCGTCCCATTAAATCAATTTTATAGGTAAARTATTTTTTATACTTCTAATTAAAGTTATTCCTGATTTATATCAGTAGATGTGAAAAATTAATCAAGATCTGAAGTGTGAGACATATGGCAACTTGACTTGTTGCATGAAGGCACGTATTCATGTGTATCACAGAACTCAGTAAGAATGCAGCAAAATAACAAAGCATCTGAACAGTGCTTTCTCCGAGTGAAAAATGAAAAGGCAGGGGACCTGGTTCTTTTCTCATACCAGTACTAGGATAACAAGGCTTGTTTGACTTAATGACATTAATTTATTCCAAAATGCGTAAGATGGGAGTGAAGCTGTAGTTATGATGCCAAGATAAAAAGGGAAATTTTCAGTAATGTGTATCACATTAAAATTTAAAAATAACCTAATTTTTGGCAACAAGGGTTGCTATAATTATCTCCCAGGGAAACCGAAGCTGTTGTTTGGGACATCAAAACTAAATTAGATGAAATTTTTGCATTCTTAAACAAAATTTCTCTGAGAGCCAGAAGGAAAGAGGATGTGAATCTATCAGAGTTTTACTTATGTCTTAATTCAAGGAATGTGTTTATTTCAAAAACAAATTCAGTATCTGATCTGCAAAACTGTAATTGTCTTTTATAGCAACATAATACAGGAGGTAACAGTCAAAACTTGGAAAACAAATACTAAGGTTATCTCAAAATACTGCACTGAACTACTTCTGACTACTTCAAATATTTTGGGTAACACATGCTCTAATTATACCATTGCATTACGATCAAATTAAATAGCTTCCCTTTTTTTAATATACTAAAACAAGACAGGTCACCTGAAATATCATCTATTATTATCAGCATTACAAGACCAGATTCCCAGTGGAGAGAGAAAAAATCAATGTGAAAGAAAAGTCTTAACTGAAACTATGTTTGAAACTAAAGCTGATGACTATCAGCTATTTAATGCACTAACTTCTCCTATTAAACAGCTTGTCTACTTCTGTCCAGCCACTTAAATAAACTCCAGACAGAAAAGCATATTAAGAGCCATGCAAACTAAGAGCTGATGGTGATAAGACTCATAAGGAATTTCCAGAGCTGCTAACAATTTGAAAAAAAGATGACCTGATGCCACAATAGCAGACACAGTTGTCTTGCAGATTAAGACTACTTGTTGCAATTAATGTTTTATGCCTTAATATATTAAACTGTCTCGGAGACCAAACAGTTGCATCTGAAATTTCAGGGGGAAATTTTAGAGGTGATCATAAATGTATGTAGAGGGGCATGCCACAATCATAATAGAAAGGCTGGAGGAAAACCTTCTATTTTAGACTCATCTATGAGAACTCCTGAGACACTGATTTCAGTCTTACGAAATGATACCAGCATATGTTACGGTTCTACCGGAATTCACTCCCGATTTTAACAGCATACGGATCACTGACTCAGTCAGAGGTGTAGCTATCCAGACAATCCTTAAATCGTGGATTTCAAAGCCCACTACAAAGAAACTGATCTGTCAGGAATGCTGCGCATCCAGGAGGCACAGGGAAATCTGTTGCTGAAATATTTCCGAACACATGGCCGGAACTTTGTGTTACCCTATTCAGTACAGAAAAACCCTACAAACGTAAGAAGTTCATGTCCCCTCGATGCTGACGGAACACTGTGCACGTCAAGCATCACACAGATGTAACTTTTTATATAATTTTTTTTTTTTTTTTTTAAATGCAGTCAGTAGCAATGATAAGCACTTTACGACTTTGTTTTCATTCAGAAAGGGACTCGGCAGAAATGATAAACCCAGCCAAAGCGGCAGCTGCGCCTAAGCGTGACTCCCGACCAGATTTCCAGCACCGGGCTGCCGGGAGCTGTTCTCCCGCAGGTTTGCGGGGCCGGCAGCCGGCAGCCGGAGCGGGCACGGAGAGGCAGCGGGCTCCAGCGGGAGGGGGAMGCGGGCACCGCCGCCTGCTTCCCGACAGGGACCCGACCCCGCGGGGCTGTGCCGGGGCGGGCGGGGGCGCGGGGCACTCACCGCGGGGGCCGTCAGGCGGCGGATGCTCTCGCCCAGCGAGTCCAGGTTGACCCGCCGGCGGCGCGGAGCGCGGCGCGACCCAGAGCTGGCCGCGGCGGCGGCGGCGAAGGGGGTGTCGGCGGGGCCGGG